CTCGTATCGTATAGTACTGCCATCACCGACGTTTTCTCATCCCCCACCTACATCCCTCTTCTCCGTTCACTGCCGCGTTTGAGCTCTCCACGCCCGAGGGACGATCAGACAGCAGCTGCATCACTCCCGCGGCGTTTGAACTAACTCTCACGTTTCTCCATCTCCGTTTCATGGACTACATCATATCCTGTGGAGAATTGAATCATTGGTAAACCAAAAGAGCAAACTTCGTAATTGTTTTGATTCATTATTTTTTTAAATAAAAAAACTACTTTCGTTGTTTCCTAAACTGAAAATGTTTTAATTTAAAATTATGTACTGTCAGTTTAATTTTTTTGTGAGGCTTGGTGTTGTATGAAAGCATCGTCCTTTGTAATTTATGAAAAAAAAATTATGAAATAATCGTAACATTATCAAGTTCATTAAATCATTAAAAATGACAGTTTATAACGTATCGATATAGAACGTTGTACGTAAAATTAAATGATCCGAACAATGTCAGTGTTTATTCCTATCATTATTGTCTTTCATATAAAACAACACTGATAAAAAATTTAACTTGATTCAAAAGAAAAAATCTTGAATCAAGAATACCATTTTGAAGAAAATAATTTTCTTGTGTCAAGAGGAAAAATTCTTGAATTGAGAATAATTTCTTCACGGTGAGAAATTTCTATTATTTTTTATTCTGCATGGATTTTTAATTTTACAATGGTGCATATTACTAGTGAATCTTATTGACTCAGAATAAAATTTTACAATGGTCCATAGTAATTTCCGAATTTGTTTTGAAATCAGACATAGCAAACGGTAGAAATTAAAATGTACCATAGTGAAATGAAATATGCAATAATTTAAATTTCCGAATGTACTGTAGCAAAAAAAATAAGAAAATGTTTGTAAAAAATAAAAAATTTTAGAGTAAAAAATATTTTTAGCAATCAAAAAAAATATCAAACCAAACAAGATTTTTTTTTGTTTGTAATAATTTTTAAAAATATTTTTTTAAAATATAGTTTTTTTTATTTGTTTTTTATTTTTAATTTGAACGTAGGATTTATTTTGGCAGTTAATTTTATTATAAATAATTATAAACACAATGTATAACTTTTAAATTATTTTTTATTATAATAATAATATATTATTAGAAAAGTGTCGGTTGCAGGTTAACCATCGAATGTTTGTTTTCATCTTAATTTTTCACGTTAAATTGTTAAATATTTTATTATTTAGGAATCTTACAACAAAGCAGCACGAAAAAATGAAAGAGCGTGCGTCGCGACTGACGCGCATACGTTTACTATGGGACATTTGAAAATTTCATAGTCACAATTTTAAGTTTAAACCGAGTACACGTGACTAAATGTCAGATTTTTTTATAAATTTTTATTGTCGACTGAGTAACAGAAATTTTACTATGGAACTATAATGAAAAGTTTTAAGCACACTCACAGTTTTTGTTCAGTCAGTTTACGAAAATTTTTTATATATGTTTATGTAACAGTTACATGGTCAAATTTACTATGGTCCCTAGTAAATATTGATTGGTACAATATGATATTCTTAAATTTTTATGGTAATATTTTGAATTGAGTCATTAAGGTTCAGTCTTATTATGTATGCATAGTAAATTTCTACAGAAATTTCTCACCGTGATAGGTATATATTTCATTTAATATCCTAATTTATCATTTATAAATGACATTATTATAAATCATTTACTAATTACTATTATTATCAACTAATTAAATTTTAAGAATGATTGTAAATAATATCAAGTGTAATTATGATGTATAAGAAGAGACTAGTTGCAAGACATCACCATAAACTATACTGGATTATAATTTAATAGGTGAGGTGCGTCCAGAAGCTTGGAAAAATTTCCGTCTTCGTCGACCCGGCTGTTTAGCAACGAAATAACTTAATCGATACTTTCAATTTATTTTTTTTTTCAAACTTTTCACTTTCAAAATTATTTTTTTTTCGCTTTCGGTAGATCCTTAGTCTGTGACTGGTTGAAAAATAAAAACCAATGGAAACGAAAAAAACGCTATTCAGCCACACCCGATATGGATAGGTAGATTTCTTGGATGAATATTGAAAAAAGTATGTAATTTAAAGACAAAATACCAGAATAATTTTAAGTGGACATGTAAAAGCTTAATCTGATGGAAAATTTTTTACAAATTTTTAAATTAGCAGAATGAATTTGGAAAATAATCAAAATTAGACGAATAATAGTATAAACTATAGATAATTACGTAAAATTTAAATAAAGATAAATTTGATAGATTTGAATTATCTTCTACGGTTTGAAAATTATTTCCATAAAATGTACAGAATTCTAATATTTTTTAAAATAAAAAAAATTTTCAAACACCATTATCAAACGTAAGTATTACGTTTAATTGAATTAATAACTAACTAAATGTATATAAATACTTCTAAATATTGAATAATAATAATTATAGAATATCTATAAAAAGTGATTATTTTAAACGATAAGCAGTAGTGATCATCATCAGTGTCATCACCAATAAAAAGCTGAATAGAAGTAGTTATTTTCGATCCATGGATCGATTTTGCATTTTGAATTTGATAGAATTAATCATTACAAATAACATCTCAAAATCATATCTAAAATGCGTAAGTAAGAGAAAATTTCGCTGTATTGAAATGATTATAATTTTCGCTAATACCGGTTGCCTTGGAAAGTTTCAATATCTACTGCTAGTTACTGCACTGCAGTATACCGACGATAAGTATCAAGGGTTAACAAAGTATAAATTAACATAATCTGACGTTAGTAAATTAGAGAAATACTTTATTCGACGACGCATTTTCATTTTATGTCCAGAGTAATTATAATTCCATCCCAATGTAATCACAAGGTAACCACATAGTAAGTACGCTGTTAGCAGCTAGACAGGGACTTTAAATTGTCAAAGCAAGTACGAATGGCATTTACTAGGACACGTGAGACGAGCCTTTGTTCTGCTTCATCTATTTTACAACACTAAATAAATTACATTGACACCGAATTATACATACATCTGATAATTATTATTGAATATGTTCTAAATATCATTATTAGTTAACTCATACTATATCAATTAAGTCAAGGAATAATTAGACTGACAACATAAAATAGAATAATTATTTGTGTATTTACTAACAAATTTTTAGCTATACAATTTTCTGTCATTCAACAGAATGTTCTTTCCTTCAAATAAAATATTACTAGTGTTTAAATTATTCAAATTATATTTAATAATATAACATATAATTCTATAGAAATTAACGAATACAAAAAAAAATATGAAAATTGATTGACCCTGCAGATCATCCCTAAAATTCACCGCCATATTTGGGCTCAAAATTTTTTATTATAGTTTTGAGCTTTTGAAGGTCAATAATAAAATTTTTATATATTTTGACCTCGAAAATCTACAAGTTTGTTCGAAAAATACCATTTTGTAAATTTTGAATTATAATATCTCCCAAATGAATCAATAGAGTTTAATGTAGTTTACGGCATTTAATAAATTTTTGAGTTGAAAAATACAATATCTTTAAAAAACAGTCTGACGCAAAATCTTATTTTTGATGTATCTAAAAATCTATTATGCCGCGCTACTTTAAATGCACCTAAAATCTGACGGCATTAAAACTTTTCAGAACACCATAAACTGAATTTTGATCTGTCAAAGCGTTCAAAAATTCAACACACTTCGTAAGAATAGCCAAAACTACTATAGAGAACCTTAAAACATAGAGATTCAAAGAAGCTCAGTTTTCGAAACTTGTTTTGAAACGAGTAACTTTTCAATTTTTTAAAATCCTTGATTTTCATAGCGGGAAGTAAAAGAAAATGAAACGTAATTATCATAACTCTTTCAGAGGATATTGTAGAAAGCCTAAAGTATTTTAATATAAGTATGATTTGATAAAATCAAGGTAAAGTACTTGAGAATACTTTAAACTTGTTTCAATAAAATTCAAAGGATTGAATCACTCATAGATATTTGATAGCAAAGAGCTTCTTGATATCCATCGGAGTAATTCAATTCGCAACACGAAAGTACAAAGCAAAGCGACTTTCCAATCAGGATTGCCGCTTCAACAGAATCACATTTAGTAAGCCTTTGTCCTTCCATTATGTAGGTACTCTTTTCCTCTACTCAGCGCTATATCTTGTAGTTTTCGTGTTTCCCAAATTTATATAAAGAAAGAAAAAAAAAAGACTTATCGAATCCCAGACAATCACTATCTTGCTCTTAAGTTGCCTTAGAATTTTATTGACATATATTAGAACAACATATTTTATATTTTAATTATTTTTCAAAATTTTAGTTCAAATTCTCGCTAAATGTTTAAAAAATGTATGTCAACATTTAAATCAACGTTTATTTTAAAAGTTATATGGACTAATTTGGACTTATCTTCTCGAATAAAAAAGAATTTTCAAAAATTGAATTTTACAAAAATTTTTAGCTTTGAAAAGTTCAAAAATTTTAATTTCCCTTTGCAATTTAAAAATTGAAGGTGGTATGTAAATATGTCAATATGGCTTTTTATACAATTTTTTCCACATGTTGCGCATCTAAAGAACAATTCAATAAAATTTATTTTTTATTTAACTACGAAAAAAAATATCTGCACAAAACTTCAGTAATTCCAACCTGCAGATTTAATATTTGTTGGATATTGAATCATGGCCATATTATATTTTCACGTTAATTTATATTTCTTAGTAATTAATGCTTCATTTTCACCAAATGTAATTGTAAAAAAAAAAAATTCCAATCTTGTAACCTTGATTAAATGATTGGATCACTAAAGAAAAAGTTCCTTCTATTATTTTACTATGTAAACAACGAAACACTTATCAATAATCACAGGAAAGATTTAAAATAAATGTATCGTGAATCTTCAACAAAATTATTTCATGTTTCTTAAAATCATTTTATTTAATCTCAAAATTTTATATTGGCATTAGTTTAATACTAAAGTATAATATATTAATATATTTATTATTTTTTGATCATAATAAAGCTAATGAAATTTTAATAAATACAGTCAGCAGAAATGTTTTCCATATACATATCTCTATATATTATTATAATAATCATTTTAATTAAATTAATTAAAGTTAACCTGATACTTTATCAATAACAGCTTGAGTTAAAACACGCGTTGCAATATTTTTGGCAAAATTCGTCAATTGATCTGTGAAACTAGGCTTTTTTGGTTTTTGAGGTTGCTGAGGATATTGTCCTTGATAAGGATTTTGGGGATACTGGCCCGGATATGGATTTTGGGGATATTGGCCCTGATAGGAATTTTGAGGGTACCCAGATTGTGGATAATTACTCTGAGGATATCCACCTTGAGGATAGTAACTTCCGCCAGCAGGATACTGAGCTTGTTGACCAGTACTAGGATAACCAGCGTTAACAGTACCCATGTTTTGTTTTCTGGTGGTATCTGCTGGATAACCAGAACCTGAAGATGGATAATTTGGATAACTAGAACCTACTGATGATGGATAGCTTGGATAACTAAAACCTGGTGATGGATAGCTTGGGTAACTAGAACCTGATGACGGATAACTGGGAGCTGACGATGGGTAACTTGGATAACTAGCACCTCCTGACGGATTAGGTGGATAAACAGAACCGGTAGGATATCCAGAGGGCTTTGATGGCTGATTCGGTAGACTCACTGGTGCAGAAGGGACAGGTGAGTTGTTAGAATGTCCAGGTTCAGGTGCACTAGCAGAATTTTGAGGGTAAAGAACGTCCTTACTCTGCTCGTGCGCTGTAAATATATTTTCAAATCTTGTTATACCTTGTTTCTTGGTAAAATAATGGTAAATAATTTTTGTACCATGCGAGAACATGCTGAGTCCAACGTCGATTTATGTTCACCCTTTTTTGTTATGCCGATGTGAGCGATGGAAAGTAATGACTTAGACCCATGTTCATGAACGTTACAATTTTTACCCATCTAACTAAAGTTTATTATGTACAGTAATAAAATTCCAAAGGATTTTGTCCTTATTTACCTTAAAGAAAATGAATAGGTGATTAAGTATAATTAAGTGGGTGAGAAAGCTACATGCAAGTTTTTATGGAAAGTATAATACAATAGAAATTGGAAAAAATTTTTTGGAGATTAAGAAAATTAATTGTAAATGCATTTTTTTTAGGTATTAAGTAAAATTTGCATATATTTTGGTTATTTGACTCATAAAGTACATATTAAGTAGTTAAAATATTAAAATTATATTTATTTATTTATAGATCCGCTCCGAGCTAAACTTGCACTCATATTTTCTGTATACATCTGTAGCCGATCATGAATAATTTTTTTTTAGGAGTCGCGCTTTATGGAAAATTATATCCAACATATTGGAACTGAAGTACGTAAACTCTCTTAAATCGAAATAGTGACTTTCGACTATGAAATAATGACTATTCACTATTTAGTAGTGAAAAGTATACCACTATTTGAATTAGTGATCTACTCTGCACTGCAAAAATAGTGAATAGTCACTATAGTGGACCCTAGTCACTATTTCGATTTAAGAGAGAAAATTTTCACCTTTTTTGCCTAGATAATTCGCCTCGGAACGAACGCTACAACTTAAAGTATTAAGTATGGCTTTTTTTAGTACATTAATATATTATTTTCAGTAGTTAATTCTTTGATTGAAGAAACTTAGCTTTTATTTAAAGTAAAAAAAAAAAAAAAAACTATTCTTTCTTATCAAATAAAATCATTTTCACAAACATATTTAAGTAAATAAAGAATACGATCGATCTTTAAATCTATTAGTTAAATTCAATAAAAAAACGGAGATTTATTTCCACCATCAAAATTTTTTCTCAAACAAGATTAAGCGGTTAAAGCATAAATGCAATGACCCGAAGATTTGCACCCATTCTTGTAAAAAAAAAACGGTTTTACCCGGAAGTTAAAAAGATTAAAGGTCGAGAGTAGATTATTTGCGCAATTTGCCCACAGGGTTTACCAATACATTACTCAGCTTAATTATTTTTTCCTCTTTTAGATCGATGTGCAAATACTTTTTTTTTCTCATGAATTTAAAATCTCGTTATTGATGTTCCGATATATCTATACATATTTTTGACTTTTTTTATTTAAATACCAATAATATAAATCTGTTATTCTTTTATGTAAAATGGTATTTCTATCAAAGACTAATTAATGTTGACTTGAAATGCGGTCAAAGGTAAAGTAAACTTTCTAGGCAGAGCGCGAAAACGTCCAAACTCGGTTTCCGTTTGAGTCAGTCGCAATGTGAGTGTTGTGATTGTTCTTGCCCCCATTGTAAGTACTTGGTCTTTGTCCTCGACGTCCTGATCCACCACCTCTGTTGGTACTGTCGTAATCACGATTCCATACAGAGTCAGGAGTTCCTATTGAGTTACTTGAACGGCCATATCCACCATTTCCACTGTAGAAGGGTCTTGGTGGAGGAGTTGGTACTATAGGCTTAGGCACATTGTACGGATAACGATTACCATATCCTCTGGAAGACGATCTAGGTGGCGGTGTTGGTGGGATTGGCTGAGGCGCTACGTAAGGACGTCCACGATCACCATTTCCTCGTCCTCCGACTCCGGGTCTTCGAGGAGCTGTTGATATCGACTTATTTATAATATCTGTTGTTGTTAATGTTATAATTATAACTTTTAACTTACAAGTTATAAGTCCAATGCATTCATGTGTTATATTTTCTTTTTAGAATCCGAAATAAAACCTTTTAATCCCTTGATTGTTTGTTTTTATCATAGAATACTTTTTATAATCGTACATAAAGCGTTGTCTGGGTTAATGATGGGATTCACGTTTGAATACAAGCTTGAAATTCGATGGATGAACTTATTCGAAAGCATCATTCGTGTAAAAAAATAAAAACAAGCGCAAGTATGTAAAAAATTGTTATTTGGTTAAAAGCATTCATCCGGCTAAAATACTATTTTCCATATGATAGATTTTATCACACTCGAGTGACATCAATTTGACCATAGATAACTCCTGGATAAGAATTACAGTAAGTCAAAGTTCATTTAAATCGATGATAAACAGCTATACCGGGAAATTATTACGAAAATAAGCAGTAACTTATAAATTATCAATAAAATGTTTTACGTATTTATATTAATTACAACAGTATTCATAGTAGGAAAAAATATTTCATTAATACTATTTCATATCATTATATCAATATCATTAGAAGCAAAATATTTATTTTTAAATATATGTTTTGAATAAAAATCTGCTATGCAACTACTAATTAAAAATATAAAAATATACATAATTAATAATTGTTAATGTTATTTTAATATCAATAAGTCTTGAGTATTCAAAATATTTAATTATAAAAATTAACCCAAAATTCTGTATCAATTAAACTTTCTTTTTATTTACACAACTTCATATTATTGATAATTTAAAACATAATTTTATCAGAAGCGTTTATATCGTTTCATGAAATTGAAATTGTGCAATAGGAACGCAAAAAAAAAATATGGGTTTTACAAGCTATTTTTTTTTTTCAAGTCTCTTGAATTTGAGGTAGCTCTTTGAATGGAATGCGGTAACTTGAAAAAATTTCTAATAAATTAAAAGATTATGAAGTTATCGATTATAGTTGGGATTTCATGTAAATATTTGTCAATTAAAATGCAGTTATTTTAATTGGAGATTTATTGTTTGTATTTATGTCTAATACTTTATTTTTTTTATATAAATTATAATAGAATGACGAAAAAAAAATTCGATTTTTGAAGAGTTAGAAACTTTTTGAAAATTTTGGAGCAACCTAGAGAAATTTTTCAATCGAGCTAATTTTTAATAAGGACTCTTAAAATTCGAAAAACTAATTTTTTTTTCATAGGAGACTTGAAAATAGCAATAATTTTTTTCCTGCCCTCTTTTTTTTTTTTTTATTAAATATCCTCCCTTTTTCTCTACTTAATGTAAAAACAAAGTTATTAAATCAAAAGCCCTGTCGTAGATAATTAAAAGTTACGATTGTTAAAATTTGTATTTACTTAGTGCTCAGCACTTTAATTAATTTGAGATGCTTATGACATTAAATGCACTGAAAACGACGCACATAGTTACACACCCAATGTTTAATACTATAATTTAATTAAGTAGAGTGCGTTGTTCTGATGTTTGCATACTCGTAGAAAAAATCTAACAGAATATAAAATAACTGTAAAAAAGTATGTCATAAAAAATATCATAGCACAGAGCAGCTACAACGTTGTCGAGAGCATCACGAAAGGTGTTTTGTAATTAATAAAAGTGTTAAAGTAATTAATCCTAAAATTGAAGTGTGTGGTAGACATGATCCCGCTGCACCGCGTAAATATTTTCTGTCGTTATAATTATGAGTGTTGTACTGATGACTCGGATATTGATTGTTTAATCCCGGCTGTTGATAATTCGGATACCCGTTGTTATTTTGCGGATAGTATCCTGGCTGAGGCATGCGGTTTTGGTTTGGGTACGGCGGATAACCAAGATTCGACCCAGGAGCTCCTGAATTTGGAGGAGAGTAATGCCCTCCATTGTTGGTCGATGGGTAAGATGGATAACCAAGATCTGAGTTGCCTGGCTTTTGATTATATCCAGAGTCATGGTGTTCAGGTGGCGGTGCATTTGCATTGTTAAACGGATGATCCTGATTATAATTGTTGTCAATACGGTGTCCATTTACCGAAGATCCGCCAGACTCGTATCCTAAAAAATTCATGCCAATGTCCATTTGATTGGATCAACACTCTCGAGATATTTTCATACATTTGCAAGAGCATCTAATGTTTCAATGCTATTACTAAAGTTTCTAATGTCTACTGTCGATTTACAAAAACCACACACCATTAACCATAAACAATAAAACGCAAATAAACAACATAAAATTTTAAAACTCTGTTTGTATTAAATAATTTGCTTATTAACATGTAATGACTTTAACAGTACACGAAGAAAAAAATAGAGATTTTTTTGACTGGTGCAGAAAGAAAATTCTTATGTTGTGATAGGAATTTTTACGCCGTCAATATAGAAAAATTGTGAAGATATCTATAATTTATAGGAATTTCACCTTTATAGAACAGAAATTTTTCTGTGTTTACATAGAAAGTTTTCTTATGTTAACATATTACTTGTTTTTATCCATACACTGATAGAAAAACACTCTTGATTCAAGAAACTTTTTTTCTTCAAAACTTGAACTCTTGAAACTAGATATAGATATATTTCTTTCAAGAATTTTTGTCTCTTGGTTCAAGATAGGCGGTAACATTGATTCAAGATGTTACTGACTTGTGTTAAGAATCGCTTTTTTTTGAGTCATTAATTAATTAATTTACTTATTTCCAAGAAATAATTTTTTTTTTGGTATAACAATTAAAGACTATTTAGTTTTTGAAGTATACTTTGAGGAATTATTTTAAGTTTTTTAAACGATAATATTATTTTGATATATAGAAAAACTTAAATGTATCAATTGAAGATAATACAGCTCTTAAGCCAAGAAAATCTAAACCAAGATAAGAAATTTTTAAAGCAAAATAATCATTTGTCTTCCAAAATAAATTCTTAGATCAAGAAAATATCTCTTGAGTCAACATAAATTTTCTATCAGTGTATAAAAATTAAATAATTATAAATTTGCTATTCTTAAATAGATAAAATATTTGGTAGTTTTTTAATTTTCAAAGAATCCTGACATAAAAATTTTTCCTGTATCGACATAAGAGGACTTTCTTTGACAATCTAACAAGAGATTTTATTTGAACATAGGAAAAATTTTTCGCGAAAATTTACAAACTACGAAATATTTTATCTATTAAAAAATATCAAATTTGTAATTATTCTTGTACATGTACATAGAAAAAATTGCTGTATTTGACAAAGAAGTTTTTTCTATATTAACATATAAAAAATAATTACGTCAAAATAAGAAGAATTTCTATATTAACATAGTAAGCCTTACTATGCTTAGAAATAATTCGATACAGTAAAATTAGCTCAACATAAGAATTTTTTCAATCCAAAAATGCTAAAAATATTCATTTTTTTTTCTTGTATGCGTACAAAGGATAATGTTTTAGTACTTTTGTAAACGTTAATTGCCATATGTGCTAATGATATAATTCTAAAGTGCTAAATTGTAAAATATAAAAACCCACGCATGTATATAACACTTATAATACACAAAAGCCTTTTTATCTACCCATTAAGTACTGCAGAAAATAACGCCTTTTTATACTTTATTATTTTATTACATTATATTTTGGATTATTTTTATTATATAAAATAATAAAGAGTAGCTTTTTTGCTGTAAGGGTGAACTAAGTGAGAAAATGGACAGTAATTAACAAGTAGATTACACACGTAGCCTACATCAAAGACAAAAAAATGCGTGTTGGCATCCGATGTAAAGACTTCTTTTAAAAAAAAAGATTTTATCCGTGCTACTGAATAACCTTTGACGGAAGATGAAAAAATGTTATAAATTCTATGGTAGACAGAGGTGAATCCCATGCATGCATAGAAGAAAGGAAATTCATGTGCAAAAGCATGCTAAAGATTAAGCTGTTACTGTTACTAATAAACCTGCTCGGTAATCTCATCAGGCATTTTTAGCATTAACCACAAAGCTTCGCCTATATTAATGGGGGCACTGCCACCAATGTTGCCATCACCTCATAAAATTTTTTTCAGCGTTCAGTGATATTAGTTTTGTAAAACCTTTTGTATTTTTTTGTTTCTCTGTTTAATTTTTTAACAAATTTTTTTTTCAATCTATGTATTTCAACGGCAGAAAAAATGTATTCCCAGTTGGTTGAAAAGTACCGAGTGCTCATGTATAAGTCGAGGTCGAAGGGAGTGATCGATAAAAGGTGTACAATATGCAAAATTTGATAATACAAGAGCTTCCATATACCAACATGTCGAGAGATATGAAGTGTATATTCATATAGAAAATTGAATGGTCGTTTATTTCACATTTAACGGGAAAAAATTTAAACGATATTATAGATTGAAAGCTCGTTTAAGCTTTTACTGTAATAAGTATTGCCGTGTAATGACGAACGTCATAAGTGGACACGATTGACGGTGTTTCAAAAAATAGAAACATCAAACAGCTTGTTCACGAAACAACAGTGACGCGAGTAAATGGAGAATTTTTTTGCATTTAAAAATAAAAGGTAATCGATTAAAAAAATAGGCATAAGCTCAAAATTTACGGATGACGTTGAGTATGAATATTTGTTTTTCTATTTAGTATCTACTATGTAAGCAATAGAGAAAATGACAAGCAAAGAGGTATAATAACATTGATTGGGGTAGTGTTTGACATAAAAGTATTAGTTAACTTCACGTTAAATAAATTGAACGAAAAAAAAATCAACATTGCAGATAAAATAAAAAAAAAATTTGGACAGACTTACCACCACCGCCAGCGGGTTTATTTGTACACGTTGGGTATGATCCACAGTTACCAGTATTGCCGCGAGTACATGGTTCGTCAACAAGTACACATACTTGGTTACTCGGACACCCTATGTCTGAGCATTTTCTTCCAAATTCTAGAAAAAAAACATAAAAAAAAAAACATAAGTTTTGATCTAATAATTTTTTAGAAAAATTATTCGTTTTATTAAAAGAACAATTCTACGAATTTTTTGTTTTTCCTCGACACTTATTTTTTGTTAATTCAATAAGGATCAATTCTGTAATATTTAAATAATCGTTTGTTGCAATAGAAACGAATATAAAAACGAATATTATTCAAATTAACGATCATTTTGTACATAGCTTTTTATTAAAAACCTCGATATTATTTTTGATTTTTCAGTCAAGAATTGAAAATAATTACAGTAAATACTTTACTAAAAAAATTAACTTTCTTCACAATTCATTTTTAGTGTTTGTTTAAATGCCCTCACGCGTTGTGACAGTTTTATTATAAATAATAGAAACGCATGCGCATATAAACTCAATAAAAACTCTTTTCATATCACAAAAATATATTACCTAACGTTGCCTGATGGGTAGAAACTAAGAGGAAATGATAGTACAAATCTTTTATTTACAATGAAACGAATATTAATTGAGCTATGATTTTCCAATCAGCTGTGCATTGATTATCCACAACGAATAAAGAAAAGTATCAGGCTAATTAATGGTATTCGACGAACGTTATAGTGTTAATACAACCATTTTTACTTAGAAAATTTCGCTAAGTTTTTTTTTTGTTTTTATTAAATATTTTTATGAAATTCTTCATTAATAAACTATCAAAAATATAAAACATGTTCACTAATGTTCTATTTTTTTGTGGTATGTATTTTTTCAGCACCTCTCCACCGAAAGTTTAAACTTTTTGCCTAGTTTTGCGGGAAGAAGGTGCGACTTTTACCTTATGAAATAACATATCCAAACAAATGAACAGTTTGACATTTGCACTAACCTTCCCACAAAAACAAAAGCACAAAGTCTCAACTTTTGGTAACAGATATGATGAAAAATAGTATACGCGCCGGCGAGAAAAGTAGGATATCCCAATCTGCGTGTTTGTCACTCTCTCCTGCGGCTCGGGAGACAATTTTATATGTGGATTGGAATGTCCTGCTTTCCTCCCTTGGCGCGTGATATACTATTCTATTAAAAATTGAATCTGTGTTTCGAGTCGTACTCTTTTAAATAATGCAGGAGCGCTCGACTGGTTTATTGCCACCTATTTATTTAAATTAAATTTTGCAGTAGATCAATATCCATTTAAATTACTAATAATCTCACTCAACTTTTTAGTTATAAAATAAGCCAATTATAATGATAGCTGATCATACATCAAAAGTGATAGACGTGCGCATTTAATATGAATGAAATTGCAAGTGAGCGAATTAATATTAAATTAATATAATTATAGAAATTATACATTAAATATTCTGCATATAATATTGTAATAAATAATGTACAATTACAGTGAAATGAATGAAACTTCAAAAGAAGAAATTACAATCGTATGTACTCTAAGCTAAAACATAGACACAATGAAGATTCAAGTACATTTTACTCTTGAAAAGCTAATAGCTTTCCATGCTTTTAGTTTTTCTGTTTCTGTTCCCTTTAACAGTTAAGTCAAAAGAAAAAAGGATTATTCTATTCTTTCATATAGAATCTCGTTTAAAAGTACGTCGCATCAGTTGAATTTTTATTTATATGCATACATAGTACACTTTTTATTTTTCTTTTATAGCATTTTTCATCGCACTATAAATATAAAAATATATATAAATATATACGTCAATGTCAGTAGCTTGTCATTTATCGATCGTATTATTTATTGTTCATTAAATTGTAAAACCTGACGTTAACTTAATCGTCACTTTTCAATGATTCTACAAGCAAGTCGTAACCTCGTCAGCGTCGACTAATGGTAATTCAATTTCGATACTTGCGGTAAAGCTCAACTATCGTCGATGCCTTTCAACCATTTTTCTGTACCAGTAGCTTCATTTCTTCTGTACTTATCGATTTTTAGTCCAAATAGATTCTGTAAAGCATTTTGATACTATTTATTATTTTTCCAAACACTTTAATTTTTTTAATTATTTAGAATTTATTTATAAATAAATAAATAAATATTTTAGATTTACATGGTGATTTCTAAAAACCTAAGTCCGTAAATTTTATAGATTGATTCTATAGATTTATTCAGAAGTTACTCTGTAATTATCACAGAAGTTTCTCTGTAATTATTATTAAAAATCTAACATAAAGAATTAAAACTGCTATTCAGGACAACGTGACTGCAAATTTATTAATATGGTTTATAATGAACAACTTTTAAAAAAATACTATTATTATGGTATTAATATTTTTTTACTCAATTTTTTGTTTCATGGAGATTTTTCTCAACTTCAATTATTTTATCAAATCTTAATCTGTTAATACTTAATTAATAATTAGATAATTTATAATAGATTATCTTACGAAATATTCTCGAATTAAGAAAAATTAACTTAGACCAATAAAAATTTCTTAGTTTAACAATTTTTATTTGATTCAAAACGATTTTCTTTTTTTGTCCATTTTTTTGTGTATCAAGATAATTTTGATATCAGCGTAGTATTTCATTTGTTTGAAATTTCACGCCATAAATTTACACCCATACTATCTCAAGCTAAGTTCTCTTCACTATTTGTTTTTTTATTATATAATCCGATAACGAATAGCTTGATTGTAGAATCACTTTATAACACGCGTAATTTGTTTTGATTGTATTTTAATATTGTGAATCTTGATCGTCTATAGGTGAGGTGCTTAATACAATTATAAGTAACACTTTGTTGTGTAATTACTAATTACTGGCATTGTAATTGAATTTATTCATAATTTAAAAAATTTTCTAGCAATTTGTGTTGAATCTTAACTCTCTTATGGAAAAAATAAACATGAAACATGTAAGCAAAGATATAACAAATTTATTTATACCACAAACATCCAATTTATGTTTTCATTCATATTTGCATGTATGTTCTTATACATTTGGATGATATCTTATACATTTTTGTCGAGGGGGTCGTGTCATAATAATCGAAATATTATCAATTATTACTCCTAACAAGTTACCTTTAGTCATTTATTTGAATTCGATCATTTATTCTATTGTTTTATTTTCTTTTTAAGTATATATATTGCTGTCAATAAAATTATAGTTAGATTTAATGATATTGATAATTAAAAACTTTATTTTCATGGTCCATTATATAACTTCCGAGTAAAGAGTTTAATTTTAATTGCAAAACAATTATGCAACAGGTGATCATTATCCACTGGAAATACGGTTATTTATTTATATTATATCATATAATTTATAATATAAATGTATTTAACAGTGATTTTTGATCATATTATACACAGACAGCAAATACTCTATTCCGTATAATTAAACCTATCCCATAAAATTCCGATTTAACGATAAAACATGTCACATTTTGGGAGTTTATTGCAATATGGCGGTGTCACGAAGACATTTCAATAGGATGAAAAAATGTTGAAGTAGTAAAGAAAGTAAGAAAATACGTTAATCAAAAGCAAAAGAGAAGAGCCATTGAATCGAGAATTTATTCCCCCAAAGTACTAAAACGTAAGAGAGTAGAGTAATAGGACGACTCTAAGAATGAAACTCAAGTCCAAGAGCATTCATTCGGCAGAAATGAAGTGACCACGATAGTCTTTATTGTACTAAAATGTAACTGTTACTTCGTAAACCCATTGATGTAAAATAAGACAGTACTTACTTGAATACGCGACCGTATTTGCAACACCTATACACAGAAATATTGCCACAAATATACCATTCCGTGGAATTATCTCCATTATCTGAAATAAAAGGATAATAAATTTTAGTAACAATTTTGGTAGAATAACTTAAGTTATGCTAAGAACATTTTCATCGGGGCTTAAGAAATAAAATAAAAATTTATTTGTATGTTAACAATAAAACGTCATTTAAATCATTTTTATGAAATTATAAAGTGTCGTTTTGAAGCCCACATCTTATGTTAAGTAACAATAAAATATTTTTTTTAATTATTTAACCGATCGTAATGGTTATGAGTGATCATATTTGGTGTTGATAAAGGATATATTTTTCCCTTATAGGTTATAGGTTTTTTAAAGATATCAAAAATTCCAATTGATTTACTTAATTGTTTCTGAGAAATTAAATTATTAATTTGCTCCTTATACAAACAAATAGTTAAGTTTGAGTTTCGATAACGTTAGAGAACTTTCTATGTTGCCGCCCAAGTCCGATAAAAGATTCAATATTAACCTTACTACCCTTCGATATCCCTACGAGTAAGGTAAAGGACCCAGTTACTGACACTGGCCTAGTTGTTTGACACTTGCAATTTTATTCCAATTAAAAAAATAAAATGTTCTCGAAAAACCAATTATCTTAAAATTTATAATTCACAAATTATATTTATTAATTTATTGGAGTAGGCCTTTTTTTTTTTTAATTAAAATAAAATTGCAATTATCAATAACTAGGCCAGTATCAATAACTGGGCCTTTTACCTTAAAAAGGAAATTCAAAATTTACCTGACTTTAATATTTTTTACTAGAGATTTTTTTTCTTTAATCAATAAATTTCTAGTTGATTTAGAAATGGATGTTTAAGAGAAATCGGTATGTATCAAATGACGAGCTTTTAAATCGAGGGAAAATTTTTTTGAGAAATGTTATGCATCGTGTAAAAAATTCTTCATCAAAGATATTTGCATGGAGAATTTTATGCTTCAAGTCTGAGAGCCTTAATTTATATATTACAGGAGAATTTTTTGACGTAAAATAACAGACATTTTTTAACAAGAATAGAACTGGGAATTCTTTTTTTTATACAAATAATTTCTTTTTTAATTTTATTTTGTCTCAAGTAAAAAAAAAGTCCTTTCGATTCCTTATAGAAATACTAATTGATTAATGTTGTAATATATTGATGCTATTAGATTATCAAATCAAATTTTCAATTAAATAATATCAATATAACTTGAATTTCAGTCTTAAAAGTATTAAAAAACTATGAGTCCGTCAGTTAAATTAATAATTGAGTCAATGAATGATTTCTAACTAAAATTTTACAACTGTATTAATTTAAATAAAAATAAAAATTATAAATATTTTTCATTCGAAATAAAAATCAATCATATTTTTTAATTTGTTTTTTAGCCTTGAAAACTTACTCTAAGTTAAAAATTCTTTATTTATTTATACTTAATTTAAATTATAAATCTGATTGGTGCAAAGTCATATCACTATGACAAATTGAACGTTATTTAGTAAATGAAAAATGGGTCAGCAATTAAATAAAACCAACAACTGCGTCATGTACATAAAACTGTGTGTTTTATCCGAAGAAAAACAACAAATTAAATGAGATTGGAGGTTTTACTGCGTCAGGAAATATATTTTACCTCTCTGTCGGTTTGTAGCCTGAAGAAATGACGCGCCAGCTTGCACATTTATTCCCATAGCAATAATTTTGTCAATTTCGTATATCGAAATATCTACACAACACAATTATGATGTGTCAATTGATTGAGTAATAACCTAACAAATTAAGTTATAAAATAATATTTAAGAAATACTTTCTCGCATAAGCATTTAATTCTCATACGCCTTTATTAATTACATCTTATATTATATATAAGGCAACATTAAGTTTAATTAGTGGTGGTGGTGACTGACAATTACAGAAATACAATTGTTTTAAAAGGCAACATAACTATAAATGTACAGGGTGTTCGTTTTCTATAAAAAGAATCTCTTTTTTTTATTAGATAACAAAAAACAGTTTATCTAAGTTTCTATTTCTTAATTAATGTGATATTGAAATTAGCAGAAGTTGGATAATTATTAAGATTCTTCTAAAAATAAATTATGACATTAAAATTTCGAAATAAATTCCATCTGTAGAAATAAAGTAAAACTATGAATTCAATTTAATTAGCATTATCATTAGCTAAAGAAATTATGAACCAAATTATTCGGAAAAATCAAGTTTACTAGGTACACTTAATTATTAGATTTATAAATCTATAAATGTAACAACTCGTGTGTTTTTTTTCCATTAAAATAAATCATTTATCACTTTAGATTATAGTGACATAAGTAATATTTATTAATTTAGCTAATTTTATACACCAAAATTTTATTAATTGAAATAGCGAATATTTAAACTTTTAGACAATAATAAAAGAAAATTAAAGTGATTTAACTTAAAATTGGAGCATATTAGATAAAACGTTTTGGTTAGCACTATTAGATAATTGACCGGACTCATATTATATCATTTATATTACATTATTATATATGTATGTTATGACTTATGACTTATAAAGATAGATAAATTTAGAAACGTAATTTGTTTGTTTTTGTCTCCGGAATTTTTTCATGTCCAGACAAGTTTAAATAATAATTCTCAATGTTATTTAAGTAAAAACGATTTCAATTACCGGTACAAAATTCTTTTTAGGTCAAGATCAAAAAATTCAATAAATTTTATTTACTCTAAAAGCTACGGAAATAAAAAATGTTGTGAATCATAAGTGTTTGAGGAAAAACTGCAACCGTTTTTTTTTTCTTACCATAAATTATTATTCATTTTAGTCATACGGGAAATAAAAAATTTATAAATAACTTATTTTTGAGACAAATAATAACGTTTAAAAATAAAGTTGTATACAATTTAAATTTATCATTAAAAATTAAACATATCACACAAAATTACGAAATAGTGTCGTAAAATTAAGAAATATAATATTTATGATTGGAATAATAAAATAGTACCTAAAAATAATTTAATATCACTATTTAAACATTTTCTATGCATTTTTGAAAAATTTGTGGATTTTGACTTTTGATGGACGATTTGAAAGTATTAAAATGATTTTTTTAATATTTTTGTAGTTATAAAATTTCTAAAAGTTTATCTAAATCAGTAAAATCTTACTTGATAACACCCGAAATAATGAAAACTAAAACAAAAAATTTCTTTATAATAATAATTAATAAGCCTATATTCGATGCACAACATAAAAAAATCTTAAAATAACTTTTCAAAAATTCATAAAAATTGAAGTGATGTCCCAATAGTTAAATTTTTAATCTTTTAAATTTTTTATACTCTCTAAGAAAAGAAAATAGTATTACTCTAAAAATTGATCCTTAAAAAATGTAAATTGAAGAAATGAACACATCACATGTTTTTGATTTTTAAACAAAAAAAAATTAAAAACTTTGTGAAATTTTATTATAAGATTCAGAAATTTGCCATGAAGAATAAGTTATAATATTATCTATGAAACAAAATAAATACCAAAAATAAACTCGTATATATATTCAGATATGATTAAAAATTTTTTTTAATTTACTTTTTTTTTAGTATCTTGTCAAAGAGATTGACCTAATAATTAAAGCGCACAGCGTCAATTTATCCCCTTATACACATGATTATTTAAGTTAAGTAAGAAAAACTTTAGCAAATAGAAAAAGTTTAAAATGGATAGTTTTAGATTTTTATAAATATATATGAGGACTATAAAAATTTAATAAATAATAAAATAGCAAATATGATAAAATAGCCATGAGATCTTTTTCCCAAAGATTTGTAGATCGTTGGATACTTTATACGCAGAACACGTCATCGAATACATGATGCATAACACACATATCCGTGTAAGCCGTATCAATCATATTATCCTCTAGATCGATGAAAACGACGCAGAATAATACTGTGCATATATCAGGAGACACAAAGACGCGACAGTACTGTCAATGATCACTAGAGCATGATGCATAATCGATTGAATGTCTAATTAGAAGTTCGTAAGATTGATTAATACCCTAAAGTAACCTAGTGTGAGAGATAACCGGATGTCTATCTTCTATAAATTCTATCTTTGATGTCAACCAATTGATTATCAACGCGTAAAATTTCGTCTTCAGGTCTTCAGCTAACATCTTCCTACCAAGCAAGTTACGTACTAATTAATTTCAAGTGTAAAGTTAGATTAACGAACTATATGAGAAGAAAGCTGAGACCATTTCTAACGTGTACTAGTATGCATAGTATGCTATAGAAAATACAGTATGTTCTGTAAATATTGTTATACTTACTAAACAGTATTAGTGTACGTTAGTTAATCCTATAACGATCTATGTCACTGAGAAGTTACTGCAACACTGGATGAATAAGTGTAGTGTATAACTAAACGTATAACGTAGTGAAATTCTGGTCGGGCTACTCAAGTTATACTCTGTGCTATAGTATCTGTAAGCTGGTGCCAACTACATATAACAGGAGAGGGAAGGTCATCATTTGAAGGCCATGAGTTAAACAGAGAAAGAAAATTCCGCCAACGATATCAAAACGAAGAAAGATTAATATAGATCAAACGAGAAGGAAAGAGAAAGCTAGATCTCTAAGAAATAGAGACGATGAATAAATGAATAAAGGGGTAGGGAGTTTAGTTATGGAGACAACGCATAGAAAACATTACCTCCATAATAGCCTCACCTACTATACCGAATAGATTAAATTAAAATCATATCATATCTCACGTGGACAAAAACGTAAATGATTACTTGTTGAGACATTATGGGAAATTTTTTTTCATGGTGAAAAAAACCTATAATCTACGAATTTTCTTAAAGATAACTTTTATTTTGACAAAAAAATACAGTATTAAATGAGTTTAAAAATAACACAAAAAAAAATTTGACAAAATGATATACACTACTAGTAAGTAGATCTCATCAATCACCTAGAAATTGAGATTACACATTTTTGATACATATTGCTTATTTATAGCAGTCATTGTTAATATAAATATTTTTAAGTTATTAGATGTACAACACTACGATGGTATAGAAAAATACATCTGATATTTGAAAAAAATTTTTATTTTATTATATTGTGGTTAGTAGTAAGGAAATAGATTATACTTTATTAATTTATTTATATGTAAGAAAAAATATGAGTAATCGGAAATAAATAATAGATTAAATGGTTTCATGAGTCAAAATCTTCTTATAATGTGAGAGTATTTTTTTATAAAAAAAGTTTAATATTATTACGATTTTTTTTCCTTGGTATTTTCTTGTGAGACATCTAGTTCTTTGAAAATTTTGTATTGGAGGAATATTTTTATCTGTAGAAAAAACCGATTTGAAATATCTAATCTTAAAAAAACCCAATGAGAAATGTTGTTATTTGGCTTATCTTTGGAACGAAAATATTAGTTTTTATAAAGATAAAAGATGTTTTTATTAAAAATTGTTCAATAACTAGAAAGAATAATTGAATTTAAGTTGAAAAGTTATTGAACACTAATAAAATAAATCAGTGCTGCCAATAATTTTCGTTGAGAAAAATTGGTATCGATAGGGAATACTCTCCAGTTATATCGGCGATCGATACTTGGTATTGATCATTTTAACGATACCGACATCAGTACTTGAATAGTTGATATGTTTGAAAAAAATATTAATACTGGCGATAATACTCGATAACTACTTAGTTTGAAAATTGAATCAAAATTGAAATCCAATTAACTTGTTCTTCTAGTGGTGAATCGTAATTTTTTATAAAATATATGGTAATTATATAGAAGTGAGGCTCGATCTATTTTCAGCTATAAAAAATCAAAAAATGAAGATTTTTGCAATTCTTTTTTTTTAAATTGTTTCACTTTCGGTGCATAATATGAAAAAAATATTAATATTAAAAAATAAATGGAAATAAGCATTTAAATTACCGATCAAATGTTAAAATTTCAATTCATCGACTCTTTTAAATTAAAAAATCTTCATAAAATTAGATTTTTCGAAAATCAAATAATTCTTAATTTCAAATTCGCCAAAGAATAAAACATGTTGAAAAAAAAAACATGCCAATTTATTGAGTTAAGATAAATTTTTAACAAAAAAAAATTTTTTTTTGACTAAAATCCAAAAGAATTAATTTTTACACGTTAAAAAATTTTGTATAATAATAAATATTATCACAAATAGTTAAAATAACATTAGTATGTCAAAAAACGATCTATATATATAATATGCATAAAAAATTTGACACATTAAAATTAAAGTAACCCCTAAAATGTTAAAGTAACACGAAAAAATCATTAAGTCTACACAATTACACAAAATTTTTCACTGTATAGAGTTAGGCGATGATAAAGAAGTATAAATTATAGCTAAAACGCGTCAGAAATTTTATTTTTCTGTGATTTTTTAAAAACTTTTGCAACTGGTGATTCATACAAATGCAATAAAATCTGTGCAAAGTATGATAATATCTATTATTTTATTGACAAGAAATAAAAAAAACTGTCCAACTTCTGTCAGATTCTTTCTTCTTATATTAATGTATTGAAGAATAGACTGCATAAATTGATTTTTACACTACCCGAAAAACATTCTTTTTTTTCGATCGATGCATCATACAAAAAAAAATGCT